GCCTCTCCGTGTCCTCTAAATATTCAGGTCAATATAATGTTTTATCTGGATGCTTCTCTCACCCCTCTTTCAAATTTTTCATTTTCTTGGTGACACGTCAGTCCTTACAAGCATTTCTTTTCCCCTAGTTGTTTACTGCAAAGTTTCAAGATAATTAAGTACTTGATGTTTAAACCGCAGTGCTAAGTTCTGTTATTTTTTTCCTTTAGGTCAATGCCTTATAATTAATGTAATTTCTTATGACATGATTTGCTTTCAGCTGTCTTGGGGCGTCTTCCTGGAACTACGATTTACAGAAATACTCAACAATACCCCGAAGCATATACATATAACGGTATTGTGATTGTTCGAATTGATGCACCTATATACTTTGCCAACACAAGTTACATAAAGGACAGGTGAGAACACTGTCTTTTCGTTTTCTTTATTTTTCCACAAGGACAACAAGTTTTCCCTTGAATATAGTATTTCTGAAGCATGGACTAAACTGTTAAGGTTCTATTGCTTTCAGCAAATTATATCCTACATGTTACTGTGAATCTCTTTTATTTCTAGCACAGGTTACGGGATTATGAAATTGAAAAAGAGGAATCTAAAGGTCGAGGACCAGAAGTTTCAAGAATTCATTTTGTGATCCTTGAGATGGCCCGTAAGTCTCCATGAGTTTGGCACAATCTGAATGACTAAATGATGATGAATTTACCAATTCTATTTCCTTTGCTATGTTTTAGTAGTGCTAAAGCTTCTTCTGCCTCATACAGTTCTTCTAATATTTTCTGGTATTTGATATGAAACTGAAGAAAAGTATAATGCTTTAGGGGTTGAGCATACTATTATCTGCCCTTTGTTTCATTATACTAAACACAATTCATGTGTCTATTCCAGCTGTTACGTATATAGACTCCAGTGCTGTTCAAGCTCTGAAAGAGCTCCATCAGGAATATAAATCGCGAGACATTCAGGTTGAGAATGTCTCTCTTTTGCTAAGACTGTACAAATATGCATCCCAAATTCTATATCCTAGAACTTACTTTCCAGCCTAACGATACCATGTGTTGTATTGCAGCTAGCCATTTCCAATCCCAACCGCGAAGTGCTACTGACCCTAGCTAAAGCTGGTGTGATTGATCTGATTGGCAAGGAGTGGTACTTTGTTCGAGTTCATGATGCAGTGCAAGTTTGTCTTCAGCATGTTCAGCGGTTAACTGAATTTCCAAAGGCACACGACTCTTTGGCAGAAAACAAACCAAGCTTGTTTCAGAGGCTTCTCAATCAAAGGAAAGACGATTTTTTTCAACCTGAACTCGAATCTGGTGTCCACGAATCTCTTCTTTCCAAGGACACCAATCCTCAACTCGAGCCACTCCTGTCAAAAAAGACATGATGATGGAGACTGCTTCCAAGATGTATCAGTATGTATGTTATATAATGTATTCGATTTTTTTTCGACTTTGGTTTGATTGATTGATTGACTGTAATTAGCTTACCTTTCTATTTGAACAGAGAGAGAGAGAGAGAGAGAGTTATTTATCATATGTTATTAAATGTTATTAGTATCTTTTTCCTGGCTGATATGCATTCTTCCCAAGTTTGTAATCAGATGCCAGTGCAAATTTTCTGTACATCACAGTGGAAATAAAAGAAAATCATATTGTTGATATCATTTCAATTTGCATTGCAAACCTTAATATTGTACAATTGTAGGAGTGTGTTCGATATGGAGGAAATAATTTTCAATTTTCCCATGATTGGTTAGTCAAATTTTTTTTAAAAATATTTCTCTAGGAAAGCAAGTTCATGATACGAGGAAAGTGACCTCCTTGATGAAAGTAAGGAAAAAAAAAACCATAACTAACATCCAAACCCTCCACACCATCTGCCTCCACCCCCACACCTCGTAATTATTTATCAAACACTAGAAAATAGAAAGTAGGTAAGAAAACTACTTTTTTTACTGGGCAAAGGTACGTACCACAAGTGTTATTGTAAAAAAACTATTTTTGAAAGATAAATTTCCGCTACTACTCAAAAGCAAACAACATACCTAGTGTGATCCTTCCCACAAGTGAGGTCTTAGGAGAGTGGTATGTACACAAATCTTACCCCTCCTATCTTTGTGGGGGTAAAATGGTTATTTCCGAAAGATAACTACTCGAAATCACTTATAGTTAAACAACCAAAATAAAGCGAGGAAATAACTATAAGAATAAAACCGATTTACTGGCTTTCACTAACTAAGATTTACAACTCATACTCCATCCCACATCGAAGGTTGCAATATTATGAGTGATATTTGAGTATTATAAATGATAGAAAGTAAGAAATTATTAAATTGCCTTAAACTAATGAGTAAGGAAAACAAAGCGGGCGGTGAGAGCCGGCCGCAGCGCTTATCAATTAACACTTTGGTGTTTAATTTGGCGCAAGAATTTATGGAGGGGTTATAGGCTGGCCAAGTGTTGACGCTGCCTACTTTGCAGAACTCACTTGTGCGGGCCTCCCAACACCCACCCCCAATACCTAGTCTTAAATCTTTTTATTTTATTGTTCTTATAGTATATTAAAATATGAACCACCAAGTTATTAAGGTTGTGGATATGGTTTAGATTGATGTGGTGAGCTTCAACAATAGTAGATGTGGTCGAGAAAGTGTAGGGAGTTAATATGATGAACTAAGTCATTAAGGTTGTGGATTAGGATGATAGGTTAGTATAGTATCTTGTCTAGTGAGATTGGTTTAGTCATTAAGGTTGTGGATTAGGATGACAAGTTAGTATAGTATCTTGTCTAGTGAGATTGGTTTAGTCATTAAGGTTGTGGATTAGGATGACAGGTTTGTATAGTATCTTGTCTAGTGAGATAGGTTGGTTCTCTAGTGAGATAGGTTGGTTTAGTCATTAAGGTTGTGGATTAGGATAGTATAGTATCTTGTCTAGTGAGATAGGTCGGTTTAGTCATTAAGGTTGTGGATTAGGATGATAGGTTAGTATAGTATCTTGTCTAGTGAGATAGGTTTAGACCGATGTGGGAGGTTGTGGATTAGGATGATAGGTTAGTATAGTATCTTGTCTAGTGAGATAGGTTTAGACTGATGTGGTGAGCTTCAAGAGGAGTAGATGTGGTCGAAAAAGCATATGAGTTAATTAAGATGGAATATGATGCGTATCTTTGTCTAAGTGAGATAGGCTTAGACCAATGTGGTGAGCTTCAAGAGGAGTAGATGTGGTCGAAAAAGCCTCTTTGAGGGTTAATTAGATAATAATATGATATACCTTCAACTAATGAAAGACATGAATTTAGATAAGAAATTATAAGATTGTGGATTAGGATGATAGGTTAGTAGGTAGTTCAGTATCATTTTGTGTCTAGTGAGATAGGTTTAGATCGATGTGGTGAGCTTCAGGAGGAGTAGATGTGGTCGAAAAAGCATATTTGAGAGTTAATTAGACAGAATATGATGCACCTCCAACTAACTAAAAGACATGAATTTAGATAAAAAGTTATTAAGGTTGTGGATTAGGTTAGCAGGTAGTTCAGTATCATCTGTTGTCCAGTGAGATAGGTTTCTCCTTTGCATACTAGTAGTATTAACACTATTCTTATAATTTTTGATCCCTCGATTTATGCTACTACTTATTTTTATAGTGCTTATTCGGTTATCGTTTTATTTTATTGTGGATATTGTTTCTTCTGTATGCTTTGGAATTTATCCTCTATTGTTTGCGATATCTTCATTACTTTTGTTTTAAATATGCATTGATATGCATAATTTGAGTCGAGGGTCTTTCAGAAACAGTCTCTCTAACCTCCACAAGACAAAATACTAAAACCTGCACACATTCTATCTTTCTCCATATCCCAATTCTATAAAATTACAGTAAATGAACATGTTGAAGAATCTACTCGTGTCAAAAGTAATTCCACAGTTAAATATATTTATAACAACAAAACAAAAAAGTTATTTCATCATATTCATATAGTTTTCAATCAAGCGGATGCAATTAAATTTATTTGGCTATAGCTCCGCCCCTGTGTCAAATCTATGTCTCTTGCTTCAGTAGGATGGAGGTACCGTTCCCACGTGAACGGAGTTGTCCCATTGACAACTCAATTTGGACATCTTTATTTCATGTGAAGTTAAAAATGAGAGAAATAGTACACCTTAATTTTTCGTCTTCGTAGCATGTTGTTGGTCTTATTTTTCCATTATTTAAATGCTATATTTTTATTTTTGCGAAATTGATAATATTATTGTTATGTGATTAGAAGATTAATTAGGAGTTTGATATATGGAAACAATTTCTTGTAAAAATGTTGTGTATAATAAATCTTTATAGTTTGATCTTTTCCCGAAATTCAACAACAACAATAAACATATCCAATGGAATTCCACTAAGTGGGTCTGGGGAGGATATAGTGTGCGAAAACATTATCACTATCTCAGGGATGTAGAGAGAATGTTTCCGAAAGACCCTCGGCACAAGTGCATTAAACTCAAGGAAAGGAAGAAGAAAACAATGGATAAAACAATCGTTAATAAGAAAAACAATGTAAAGTCTGCAAGAAAGAGACAACAACAACATTAAAATAGTGTAATAATCGAACCACAATAAACAACATAATGACTAGAACTACAAGGATACAACTAGTACTACGACATACACTAACAATCCTAAACCTTTACAAGACAAGACAACACTCCCACTTCTACTAACTTTCTTCCCTAATACGCGAACTTCACGTAACAAAAGCTTAATACATCGAAACGTATCTACTTTTGGATTATTTGTCTATACATGGACAAAATTATCAAGTGGAGGCTGCTGGCTATGATAATAATCCTATAAAGACAAAAAAATGGTCATTCACAAATCTCCTCTAATCCTCTCTCCACCAATTATCATTTATCTACCACGTGGGATTCTTGGCCCTACAAAATACTATATTTCTCTTTTGGTACACTATATAATATAATTCATATTTTATCATAATATTATATCATACAATATAATATAACTCTTGTGCATTTGATCTCTCATATAATATTTTCTTCAACTTGCTTTTTGTGAAGATCAGATACTAAACTTATCATGGGGGATTCCCCTGCTTCATACATATACATGGTAACTAAAAGATTCATATTCCTGATTATTATTTTTTATAATCGTGGTGTCTAGATTAGTTTGTGTGCATCTTGATTAATTTTATATAGTATTTGCTAATTTCCATCGATATATGTATCGAAGAACTATGTCCATCAAAATTTGGACGAATAGAAAAAAATCACCTATTTTTTATTTATGATCACCAACTTCTCATCATGATACTTCAATGAATTAGCAAGGGTTCTTTTTTTGTTTTCCTTCTTTTGATTCTATATTAGAAAGGGTGATATATGTTAAAGCAACGGTAAAGTTGTCTTTTTATGACATATAGGTTATGACTTATGAGTTCAAGGTGTGGAATCAACTATTGATGGTTACATCAGGTTAGGCTGCCTACAACACATACCCTTGGGTGCAACCCTTCCTTGACCCTTCATGAACGCAGGATACTTTGTCCACCAGACTCACGCACCCTTGGGCGCAACCCTTCCTTGACCCTTCATGAACGCATGATACTTCGTCCACCAAACTGTCCTTTTTTCTTGATTTTGTATTTGAAAGGGAGTCTTGGAGCACGGTAAATTGTCCCACGTCACCCTGTGAGTTATGACCTATAGGTCATGGATCACGGATTCAAGCTGTGGAATCGGTCACTAATAATTGCATTATGGTAGACTTCCTACATCACACAACCTCTTAAGGTGCGGCTATTTTTTGACCACTTATAAACGTGAAATGTTTTGTGCATCGAACAAAGGGACAACCTTTATTCTTGATTTTGTATTTGAAAATTTGGGAACTTATCTTTTTGGATTATTTTCTTGTTTTTTGTTTTTATTATGTACTAACCTAGTTGTCCTTGATGTTAGGTGCAGCATCTGATAGAAAAGTGTCTAATTTTTCACATGACTAAAGAGGAATGCATAGAGGCCCTTTCCAAGCATGCAAATATCAAATCTGTCATCACTGTTACTGGTTAGTGTTGTATTATTTCTATCGAATTTAACTTATATACAATGACAATGTTCAATTTTTCTAATATATTTTAACTTGTTATAACAAAGCAACCAGCATTACTTTTAAAAACTTACTAATCCCACTTATTATAGACGGTATAGTGTTTCTCGATAACCTGATAGTATATTAAAAGTTAACAGATGAATATTAACTTATTCACTGCTCATAATGATGTTTGCTAATATGCACAATATTATTTTCCGATGAAGAATGTTCAACTGACAATCTTAGCTACACCATTGCTAATATGTCATTTCTTGTATACCTAACAGATCATTGTGATACTTATTTGTATTTTTCAGTGTGGAATGAGTTAGAGAAAGAGAACAGGGAGTTCTTCGAGGCATACGCTAAATCACATAATAAAAATCGCGCAATAGAAGCAAAGGCAGAGGCAGAGGCAGAGGCGGAGGCAAGTACAATGATTCAGAAATTGTTATTGGATCATGATCATACTAAAAAATCAGACAAGGAATAACAAATAATCGTGTTGTTGATTGTAACGTTGAAAAAAATTACGTTCAAACAAGCAAGTATGTCATGGTTCGAGGAGTCTACGTGTCGTGTATAGACCTAAAAGAGCATGGTAGCCTAAGCATCAAAGGTGAAGTCTTGACCTAAAAGACTTCAATAGTTTGTGTAGCCATAAATCCTATTGTATTCATTATATTCGTTAAATGGTGCCAAGCTCAAAAGGCAAGTGGTAATTGAAGTACTAATACGTCTCTAAAAAATGTCATTAGGTGTGTCGAATCCTCTAAAAGTGGTAATTGAAGTACAACTTTCGAAGATCTGACATGGATGTGACAACATTTTAGAGTGTTAGCAACATTGCCAGACAATAGTACTATGTGGTACTTTATTGAAATGTTCACTATACTAGCTATATGCTAATTCAATCATGGCACTATTGGTATCTTTTGTGTCCTCTATGAGGTGTTGCCTAATGAATTCGGGCCTCTAGCTGTCTTGTTTTGTTGTAACATAGAGTTCATGTGACATGTGATTTTCTTGTTATTTAGCTAATGGAGTGTTAACATAGTGGGGGCTACTTTGTTCATTTTCACATCTCAATCATGCACCTTTTTCTTTGGAAACAACCTCTCTACCTTCACGTGATAGATTAAGGTCCATATTCACCTGAAATTTCACTGAATATGTTATTGTTCTTAATCATGCACCTTTTGGAATATGAACTTTATAGTGAATGTGATTCTGTATTGTGAAAATTCGGGTTTGGAACAGTCCTTGCGTTACTCCCACTCTTTGATAACTACATACTAAGACGCTTCAAAAGAACTATGTTCACTACTTGCATTCACCTTAAGGGCTAATCCAACCTAACCCAAGATTATTATTGGCAAAGTTAAATGAAACGATATGATCAATAATGATTCATCTTGTCTAACCCAACTAGTTTGGAATTAAGGTGTAAAATTGTCATTATACTTATAGTAAATGTGATGAATTTTTTTTTAATCAACGAGGTGTGGCTTAGCGATCAATGGAAAGGATGACTCGAGAAAATACTCGAGGTGAGTGCAAACTGACATGAACACTATTAAACAAGTGGAAAAGCTTCTCTAATTTGAAACTTTTCTACACACTACACTATGCATGTCCTTTATTCTTTTCTCCCTCTTTTTAACGATCAAAAACACGCCTAAACTCAACACTTTTCCGCAAATTTCACACCTTAACTATCAATTATTTCTTTTTTCTACTCGAAAAAACTATCACTATCTAAGTAGTTGATGTGTGAAAATTGCAAAAAAAGTGATTGTTCCGATGTGTTTTTTTACCATAAAATAAAATAAAGGAGTGTCAATATAACATCCCTTCTGGCAATTTTGTATAGCAAAAACTGAAGCAAAAGATCAACAATCAACACCTTACATTAACTAATAAAAGTTTCAGAACATGACTCGTTTATTAGATATACAAACAGTACAAGGATTGATCGATAGACAGACCAACGATGAACGTTTTTATTTAGATCATACTATATAGATCACGTTCATAATGCTGCACCCATCGAACTGCTAACTACCCGAGACAAAACACGATTACAGTTTCGAGTCAGTTCATGCGTTAAACCTTTGGAGCCCACCCCGCGATGACATACTTTTCTTCAGCCTTGGTTTTCTGGAACGACTCTCGCTCGAAGAGCAGCTGTAGAAGGAGAACATAAAGGTGTCAACTTTTGTTCCATTTTTGCTGTTGTTTCAAAGAATTGGAAGATATGACATATTTAGCATAAGCAAAGCATGGACATAGAGAAACAAATGAATATGCAATCGTAATATCAGAAACTAAACATGAAAAACTTGGTTTTCTTCATAATAGAATTACACTATTAAGCCGGAAAGCTCAGAAATGCCTCGGGGGTGTGTGTGGATCCTCCAAAAGTAGTGTATTTTTGAAGAATCCGACACCAGTGCAGCAACAAATCAACATAGGAAGAAGCAGTAGTTAAGAATAAAAATATAAAAGGTAGCTGCTGAAAGCTACTTTTGGTATGGAAAATCATCACATCTAGTATTAGATTCGAACGATCAAATGAATTTGAATCAGTAAAACTGTGACAACTATATATATATGGAATGTGGTTATTCTTTTAAATTCTAATCATCAGAGTTTGAATTTTAGAGACATTTTGACACACAGATAAGACATAAACAAACTACTCCAGCACAAAGAATGTTCTCAACACCCACAGACAAAGCAGATACCGACCATGCACGCACACAAGGACACAGAGAGAAACAGAGTGCATACCTTCATGTAATTACGCACGTGACTCAAGCTTTCAGGCACACTCCACTTCTTGAAGTGTCCAAGAGCCACCTCGAGATGGTACAGTTTTGGAGCCAAGCTCATATCAACTGAACAAATATTCTCCCCATTGACATATGGTCCCTGATGAAATTCACAGCCAATAGAAGTTAAGATCATGGTAAAAATGAGAGACGCATACTTTAAGTTAAACATATCAGACAGTTCAATGTAAAACAGCATACATGAGCCTTGAGATGCTCTTCCAAAGCCTTCAGTTCATCAAGGAGAGCCTGCTCAGTACCGTCACTAGAATCCTTGCTCTTCAGAAACGAGACGAAGGTAGGAAATATTTTTGAGCCCCTGCAATCCCAAACAAGTTACAGATGATATTCCACCCGCCAACATCAATAAAATAAAAATCAAACTGCAACAGATGCTAGCTTATTACCATGATGAATCATACAAACACATTATAGAGACAATCATCTAAAAGGAAACACTGGATAGATAAACTAAATAATTACTATGTTCTATATTGAATGTCCAATTTGACTTGCATATTAAGAGGTGAGAATCTAAAGGTGAAACATATGAAGCACAATGGTAGCCTTTTTGCTTCTCCAAACAAGTAAGAGAAATGTTGTATTCAGCAACGGAAGATTAAAATACAAGAGGTGGTGTTTGGTGCAAAAGTTCAAAAAAGAGTTTCCTCAGAACTACCTTTAGATTGTTATTAGAACTGTTTTCAACCAAATGCCAAGAAAGACAAAGATTTTCTTCAGAATTTTAAACCAAATCTCACCTAAGACATTTGAGATATAAGATTAAATCAAAATATGTAAATTCAATTTGGAACACAGGAAGTAAAGTGTTTTTGCTTGATCTAAAGAAACTCAAGCCACAAAAGTGAAGACAACTATCACAAAACTTCATTTAAATGTAGCTTGCAGAAACCTAAGACGAATTCACAAATCACTTCCCTCCAAGGAATAAAAAACAAAAGGTTGGGGAAGTACAACAAAGAAACCTTTCCACGGAATTTTGAAGGAAAAATGCCATGTTAAAGTAATTGGAAATAGCAACTCTGTAAAACGCTTCCACTTTTGATTTCTATAAGGAGTTCAAGCCAAAGAAAGCATTAAAAATGTATCTTGCTTCTTTTATTTTAATAACTTTTGCTACATACAACATGAAGTTCCAACTTATAAGTATATTCATTACCCAAAACACTAAAATCTAAAGCAAATACCGAGATGCAGCCAATAAAACATCCAGAGAAATTAAGCACCCAAGGGTGTGGCCTAGTGGTCAATGAAGTAGGTTGAGAACCATGACGTCAGCAGAGACAAAAACACTAGATGATTTCTTCCCACCTGTCCTTGTCCAGCTTGCTGGTGGGAGGTGGCTGGTATCCAGTGGACTTAGTCGAGGACTAGAGAAATGTGGTCAATACAGAAACTTATTTAAACACATGGAGAAAGTAGGGAAGAAAACATACACAGAGGCAAATTCAGGGGGAGCAATGAGAGAGGGATTTGGATATTTCTCTTCAATAATCCCAACAATGACATCAGAATCCGGGATCCATTTGTCACCAAAATTGATCACGGGAACTTTCCCTTCCGGGTTCACCTCCAAGAACCTAAAATCACAACCCCAAAACAAAATTTTCAGTTTCAGAATGAAAAAAATGTTACCTTTGGGACAAAAAGAAAGTACTTTTTTCTTCAGATTTACCATTTGGGCTTGTCACTAACATTGATCAAGTGCTTCTTGTAAGGCACTTTCTTTTCCTCCAATGTCAGAAGTACCCTTTGGCTAAATGGACCTTAATATCACAAAACCATAAAAAAATCAGAAAAATTGAAACCAAACCCATGAAAATTTGCAAAACACTCTCACACATACAAACTAAAGCAATGGTATATGTCTTAAGAGGGTAAGATTACAGTCTCAGAAGTACCCCTTTGGCTAAATGGACCTTAGAATCAATAAACTACCACTAATTAAGAAAAAATGAAACCAAACCCATGGAAACTTGTCCAAAACTAACAACTAACACAAAACAATGGTATAAATCTTAGAGAGTAAGAGATTACATTCTCAGAAATACCCTTAGACTAAATTGACCATAGAATAATAAACCATCACAAATTCAGAAAAATTCAAACGACCCTTGAAAATTTGCCCCAAAAAAACAACATAGACACACAAAAACAAAGGTATAAATCTTAGTGAGAAAGAAATTTACAGTCTTTAGAAGTACCCTTTAGCTAAATGTACCTTAGAATCAAGAAACCATCACAAATTCAGAAAATCCAAACCAACATGAAAATTTGCCCCAAAAAACAACAGACACACAAAAACAAAGGTATAAATCTTACTGAGCAAGAAATTTACAGTCTTTAGAAGTACCCTTTAGCTAAATGTACCTTAGAATCAAGAAACCATCACAAATTCAGAAAATCCAAACCAACCCATGAAAATTTGCCCCCAAAAACAACACACACACAAAAACAAAGGTATAAATCTTAGTGAACAAGAAATTTACAGTCTTTAGAAGTACCCTTTAGCTAAATGTACCTTAGAATCAAGAAACCATCACAAATTCAGAAAATCCAAACCAACCCATGAAAATTTGCCCCAAAAACAACACAGACACACAAAAACAAAGGTATAAATCTTAGTGAGCAAGAAATTTACAGTCTTTATAAACACCCTTTAGCTAAATGTACCTTAAAATCAAGAAACCATCACAAAATTCAGAAAAATCCAAACCAACCCATGAAAATTTGCCCCAAAAAACAACAGACACACAAAAACAAAGGTATAAATCTTAGTGAGCAAGAAATTTACAGTCTTTAGAAGTACCCTTTATCTAAATGTACCTCAAAATCAAGAAACCATCACAAACTCAGAAAAATCCAAACCAACCCATGAAAATTTACCCCAAAAAACAACACACACAAAAACAAAGGTAAAAATCTTAGTGAGCAAGAAATTTACAGTCTTTACAGATACCCTTTATCTAAATGTACCTCAAAATCAAGAAACCATCACAAACTCAGAAAAATCCAAACCAACCCGTGAAAATTTTCCCCAAAAACAACAGACACACAAAAACAAAGGTATAAATTTTAGTGAGCAAGAAATTTACAGTCTTTACAGATACCCTTTATCTAAATGTGCCTCAAAATCAAGAAACCACAACAAATTCAGAAAAAAAATAATCAAACCAACCCATAAAAAACTGCATCAAAAACAACACGCACAAAAGGGTATGCATATAATCTAAAAGGGGGTGAGAAATTACAGTCTCCAAGGACATCAGGGGCACCCACAGCAGCCTTGACACAAACTTCAACAGCCATTTTTGATGAACAGAAACTTCACTAGAGAATTCTGAAGAAGATGGCTCACAAATTGGGTGTGTTCCTTGTGTGTGGGGAGTGTACAATAATATAGTGTCCTTTTTAAAGCATTTTCCACATGTCCAATTATCAATGTTGGGATATGGGTGGATTTTTCTAAGAATTTGAAAAATTAAAAAAAAACACACTCAAAGGTTTTACGTATAAAATATGTCAGCTTCTTTAATTGTATGCGTCAAATTTAAATAAAAAATACTTAGAGGTTTTACGACTTATTGAAGTGAACATGTATAGTTAATAAGATGACATGTGTTTATACGGTTAATTTTACTACATAATAGACGAGTGAGATCACACACCAAAAAAAAAAAACTAAAAAGGAAAAACTACATAATTATTCACACTTTATTACTCTATTTATACTTAATTTATCTATAGTTTAAAAAATTACACATAATAACACTTTTAATACTTATATCATATATTTTAAAATATTTAATGGTAAATTAGCAATTTAAATTATTTTCTCTCACTGCAGAAACTTGTTGGTCCACTTCAAAATTGGCCCAATAAAGGGAACTCTCCAATATTAAAACTGATGGATACACGTATTTCACCTTATTGATACATGTATCTCACCTTTACTGTCAAAAAAAGAACGGATGAAGAAGATGAGGTTTAAGACTACAAAATTACTTTGGTTTCTGATTTCATTATTTTAGGAAAACTTGTTAGAGTTGATATGCAAGGATTCTATAAATCAGTTTGGGTTGTTAATTTGTCATCAATTAAACCTTTAATTAAGAAAATAAGTTACACCCCGTTGATTCAAAATAATAATTTATGTATCTCGACTTTTAAAACTATTGGATACATGTATCTCGCCTTTTATGATACATGTATCTTGCGATCAAAATATGATATAGAAAGTAATATTACAAACTATGGTGAATCCTAGTAATTAGGATCTAAAGTAGTAGATTTAAGTAGTTTGTCCAACTAAAAATGTCTAGTCAGAACACTTTATTTGGTTCGAATCTAAATAAAGTATTATGACAAATTTAAGAAGATGACTATGTATTGAGATATTATTGTATTGTTACAACAGTCATCGATAATTACTATTGTTAACCTTCACTATATATCACCAATTCACTATTAATTATTACTATAATCAACCATAGTTATAAATTATAATTGTTATCAACAATAAATAATCAACTATCATCACTATTCATTATTTTGTATCGACATCTGACACTAATACCGACACCATTATTCACCATTACTATCAATCACCACTTTAATCGATTTCTACCACCATTGTCATTGGTCACACCATTATTAACAACCATATACTTATTTATTTATATAATTTAGAAATATTAATATTTTATATTTATTAATTTTTCATAAAGATAAATTGTATACATTTAAATTTTGTGAAATTTTTTTATTTTAACTAATTAATAATTAGATTTTGATGTAACGTTTTAATAATTATATTTATATTAAATTCAAATTTAAATATTTTAATTTTATGATATTCAAATGTATATTTAATTTCATACGTCTTAATATTAAAAGAAAAAGAATACCTCAACATAATTATATAAGAAATCTTTTTGTTCGAATTTACGTTAAATATTAATTAATTTGATCCTCATATACTTCGAATCAATCTAAATAAATTGAGAGAGAGGGAGTATTTTTTTTTTCTTTTGACTAGTCATTTTCTAGGCATATATAGCTTCAGAATGAAAATAAAATCTATTCACATTTTTGTGGTTGAGAATAAATTAAATTAATCTTGGACACTGGAACAACTTTATATCATGAAATTGATTTTATTGGAAAAATTTAAAAGTATGATTTTGATGTGTCATAAATTGAAGTGCCACTATCATGAGAATAAAACCTACTATTTGAAAAAAGAGACTTTATTTTTCAAAAAATAAAAATAAATAAAATAGGGAGAAAAAATTCCATTATTTAATTGATGATAAAGAAAAAGAAAAAGTTTTGAAAATGACTACTCTATCTTTTCTTTTTCCTTTCTGGATCTTTAGACAAATAATTGATGAAGTTTTATTATTTACTTTTATGAAATAATGTACATAAGTTATGGAGAATATGATTAGATATATATTAGGAAGGAAATATTTATATTATATACTTGTGGATTATTTTTAATTTAAGTGATTAGGTGAATATGAAAGTTAAAAATCAGTATAGTAGAATGTTAGTAAATGGCCTAACATTACCTAATTTTCTTATCAGTATTATTATAATTATTGCTCTTTTACCATCTTAATCTTCAATTTCAGCATTAATTGTTGTCTCATTTTTCGATTATATTATTATCTCTTATTGTTATTGTTATCTCTTTTTTACTACTATTAAATTTCCTTTCAATAGTTGATTTTAATATGATTTATTTGAGATGAGAATTTATCAAAAATAAAATTTCTACCTTCACAAAATAATATTAAGATTGCGTACACATCACCATTTCATATATATTCAAAATGCATTCACGTCTAGAAATCATATTCTCTAGTTTTTGTTTTTTTTTAAAGATTTCATGCCATTTTTCTTCTTAATTTTATTTATTAGGGGGGGGGGGGGGGGGGGAGGGACTATAAAGATTATTTGCTGCAATTTTGGGAATGGAAGAATCAGATACCAAATTCTGAAAAGTGGTAAGATGTTTGTATGGCACCAAATTCCCATTTGATTTAGAATAAAGTTATTCAAAAACTTTTTCTGAAAAAAATAGAATCTAAAAAAGTGAACAAACTAATTAGTTGAAGAAGATTTGACATTTACTACATATATATAAAAATAATTTTAGCTAAATAATATAATTTTTAATCAAAGAGAATCCTGATAAATCCAAACTACAAGCTAGCTCCGCCCATGGTCTCAGAATAGGAGGTGGTGTTCCCTTGCCTTGCAAATTGATACTTTTTTTTTAATGTGTTTCACGTGTTGTGTTTTGGAGGATTTGTGTCTTATGCAAATAATGATGTTGTCAATTGCATTTATCATTATCACGATCTATACATGCGCGTAGAGAGGCTAACTCAGTAGTTGATAAATTAGCTATTTGAATTTTTGATAAGGGTCTTATGTTAAATGATTTCGACGTTTTTCTTTTTTGAAAAGGTTTGCATAGGTCAAGCGAATTTAGACGTTGTAATCAAATGTCATTTACATTTACAAAATTGTAAAGAAATTAAATAATTTATCTTAATTATATAAATTGATAAGCATTCATTCATTCATTTTACTTGTCCAACTTAAATTTTATACGATTCATATAAATAATGATTGACATGAATATTTTACTACAATAATTATATTAATTGATATTTAATCTCAGATTCTGAGATATTATATCGAAATAAGTAAATAATATTGAATGTAAAATATATTTTAAAAAATTAAAATATAATTTTAGAATGAATATTTTTAATAATATTTTCCTATTTTTTTACATAGTAAAAAACAAAAAGATGTTCATATTGTAATGATTGGACATTTGACCGACCAAAATTTTGGCGCAATATTTTTTGCCGACCACCGTAATGGCGGCGGCCTGTTGACACCAATTTTCGTCAATCAAAACCCTAAATCAAAAAAATATTATTTATAGCAAGCTTTTAATAATATAGCAGTTTTTTATTAAGTATTTAATTAATAATTAAAATTAATTAATCATTTCCAGCTATTCTTCTTAATCACTCCATTATTTTCAGACAATTTTTTCATACACAAATCCACCAAAAGCTCAATTATTTTTTTTCATATTTGTTTCTTGGGATTTGGTCTTCTTGATTTTTCCATTTTTTTTGGAGGTGGGGTTGTTTTTTTCTTGCTTAAATTTCAATTTTTAATCAATTTTGATTATGATTAGTTTATAAAAAGCATTATGAATTAAAAAAATATTTTGATGGCTGCTGTTATTATATTGATATTATCAATTTTGTTGGATTTATCATCATTAGTTACAAGGAGGAGGAGACCATCTTCAATAAAGGTAGAATCTTTAGTTTATGGGTTTTTGATATTCTTGGATTTTTTTTCGGTTTTTGTCACTATGTTGTGTTGAGGGTCTGTAAGTAATTGTATGAAATGATTTAGGTTGGATTTTTGTTAGTTATAGTAATTGTTAGGATTGATGATGATATGATTTGAGCTTAAATGAAAACATCGGGATTCATATAGCTGACTCGAACTTGTTTGGGGTTGTTGTTGTATAGTAATTGTGAGAATTCCAGCTATGTGAGGTTTGATAAACATAGTTTACTTTTAAGTTCAAATAAAGGAAGATAGTTGTGGTAGGACAAAATATGTACACAAGATTGAGGCATAGTTTTTTTTTGAATTGGGGTAGGGGAAGGGGATTACAAGGTGGAGAATCGAATCAAAGCACGTAGTCAACCAACTGAATTACTGAGATTCCCTCGATTGAGGCGTAGTTGAGTCTTCTGAATATACAGAAAATTCGTATAACTGATCTCAACTAGTTTGGAATTCAGGCCTATTTGATTGAGAGTGATGATAGGGAATGATTCTGTTGGGTTTTGAGTTGACTTTTGTGTTGTGGCTAATGATAGTAATTTGATGTCTTTTATGATGGCTCACTGTTGGACTTTCTCAGTGTTGGGGTTTATACTTTATTGATAATGATAATGTTTAATAAATATGGTCTGCTGCTTTTTAGCTCTGGGAGAAAATATTTGACTATGTGTCTCTACTTACATTTACACTTTTGGCCTGTGGGTGGTGACATTTGAAGGTATACTATGTTTCATTCTTTGGCTAAAGAAGCAAATAACATGTATTTCCACATCATCTAATCTTTTCTCTTTAGGAATCGAAGGAAGGGGTAGAGCTTGTTCAATTTTTCCAGATCTTTCAAGATCCACATCAAAAGCTTTCTCATCTGGGTGATTTAGATGAACTAAGCGTTCCATCTTTTCTTGGCAGTTATCATACTGATATGAATTTGGCTGTCTGTGTTGTCTCTAACATGGTGTGAATGATAGTTTTGCACTTCTCTAGTTTAAGTTTTAAATGCTGTCAATGGATATTAAATGTAAGTCATGCTAGATTCACTATAAACACCACTCTGAAAGGCATATGGTTTCTAGAGCTTCGATCTTTGAATTTTTTCATTGTATTGTTTGTTTTGTGCGGAGGGATGTAGCCATTTGTGTGCAAGAACTAAGAACTATCATTAATGTGTCTTTGCTTATTTTAAAATGCTTCTATTATCGAAGGCATTATCTTATTGCATCGGAGAAAAGTGATAAGTTCCTAACAACATTCAATGTGATTTGGAATGTTTTGGAATTACAATTACTTCTTTACTCAGTTTCTGCAAACATATTTTATTTCTGGGATGGTGGCATGCCTTTCAAGTTAGTTGTATATATTTGCTCAAATTTGCTAGAATGAAGTGTTAGTGTGTCACAATGTCTTTAGAGTTGGTGTGTTCAATTTTAGTATTTAGTTAATCCTTTAGAACGTTCGTAAGAGTTAGTGTTAGATTAGCATCAAATTGATACTTCTTTGGTTAAATACAATACAGGTTATGGATTGTATCTCCTACCTTGTTTGTTATATTCTATTATCACCAAGTCATTAATATTTCTCCTCCTTTCTGTTATTTTCTTGAAAAAACATGATTTGCATCTATTTTGCTCTTGTAGACATAATTGTTGATCTGGAAAACTAACAAAATTCCCGTAATGTCTGCACAGTGCCTGGTTTAATTAACCAGACTGGTTAAAGAGTTGTTGAAACAGATGGAAGGGAAGCAGCACACACCAAGTGTTATAGCAAGGCTGATGAGCCTTGATGAGCTTCCACCTCGGCAGCACCTCCCTGTTAAGAGAAGGAGAGTACTCTCTGAGAACTATCTCCAGAAAATGGCTTCTATAGGTTTGCGAGAGAAGAGTTCATTTTCTGTTGGCTTCTCCCGTGGAATAAATACTCAGAAGTGTCAAGTAGTTAAAGATGTATCTGCAGCCAAGTTGAAGATGCGGAAATATACTAATTCGAGTGTTACTTTAATAAAGGAGAAACATTCTTATCTTATGGACTCCGAAGGCATCTCAGAAAGTTTACTTTCAACCAAGCATTTGCGTGATCTACAGGCTTATAAACCCTATTGCCATCCAGTTCACTCAGCTGTCGCTAAGACAATATGCAAGATGTCTGCTAGGACTACCGCTAAAGAAAAGACTTCGAAATCTCTTCAGACACTTGAGATTGGTACACCTAAGGATGATGTTGGAGACTGTTCTATTCATCACTTGAAGAAAATAAACTTTCAGCTTGATCCAAATGAAAACATGCCTCATCCGTCTACAAGAGTTATTGTGGTCAAACCTAGTTCTGGAAAGTATCGTAAAACCAAACATCAGTCTGTTTCTCGTAGGCATGGCTTGGAGTCCGATCCCGTTGATTTGAAGTACAAGAAATTCACAGAACATGAAAATGGGACAGTACATAATAAGAGACCAGGAAGAGCAGAAAGCATCAGTGACACTTTTCTGAAGGCCGAGGCTCTAAAGCTGCCTTCTTCAAAATTATTTAGTAAACAAAGAAAAGATAATACACTAAATTTCTTTTCAAAGAGGTCATCTTTTTCCAAAGAAGTCAAGAAGCAAACCATTGAAAAGTGGAAGCTGATGAATGATCTTTCAGAAGTTGAAACAACTTCTAGAAGCCAAAATCTTGGAGAAATGCTTGCTACGGATGACTTAGAAACTAGGCCTCAATTTTTGGACTCCAAGCGTGACTCACAAAGTTTTTGCAGTTCATTCAGTGTGAACACTCAGATCTCAGGCTCGTGCAGCAAGGATTCGTTAATTCCAAATCATTCTGCTGGTTCTATGATAGCCTCTGGAAGTCCTGAAGGTATGATTGGCCATAAAGCTTCTCTATATGGCTGGCATCTGAGGCAGAAAGTAGCTGTTACTGAGAAACATTCCAAGTATATGAACCAAAAACAGAAAGATAATATGGAATATAGAGACTTGAACTTGAAGGAAACCGATCAGCGCAGTCCAAATTCAGTTCTGGAGCCACCGTTCCAGGAAGAGAAACCCTGTACCTCTGCATTCCACGGCTTATGTAGTAAGTAAACACAAAGCTTTGTTAACTATTTCTCAACAGATTTCATCCAATCTCATTTTTGTTCTTCTGAACTTGTAAGGTGTAGCACGGCAACTTCAGCTTCTTGAGACCAACTCTGAGGAAACATATTCAGAAGGATCTGAAATGGGTGTCTCAACTGATGGAGACTCCGAGACAGGGTCTCTGGATCTCCTTCAAGATAGTGAAAACATATTGAAAGACTTCAAAACCGCAGATGGCAGGGACTTCTCCTATCTGGTTGATGTTTTAGATGAAGCTAGTTTGCACGGCATGAACCTAGGAATGTGTTTTGAGACATGGCATTCTTTGGAATGTCCCGTGAATCCCTCAGTGTTTGACTTGTTAGAGAAGAAATACGGGAAACAAATATCTTGGCTAAAATCAGAGAGGAAACTTCTGTTTGACCACATAAATTCAGGGCTAAGTGAGATTTTGCATTCATTTCTGGAGATCTACATAATAGAAAAATCTTTAAAAAGAAGGTGCTGTTCTACTATGAGGAGAACTGATATTGAAGAAGAGTTGTGGAGGATGCTGGTTAGTCATGAAAATGAAATACGCAAGGACTTGTCTGGCAAGGCAATTGGAAATGAAACCAAATGGTTGCAGGTCGAGGAGGAAATTGGTAGCATATGCAGAGAAATAGAGAAATATTTGTTGGATGAGCTAGTTGCAGAATTAGCTTTGCATTGAGAGCGTATAAAATGGGATTTTGGCCGCTAAGTTTTCCTACTACTTCCCTCCTCAAGTTACTGGGAATAGATATAGTTTTTTTTCAACAGCAATTCGATCTGAAAGTATAGGATGTTGTGTAGAAAATCTGAAAGATGTGGCACTATTTATTCTTATATTCATTCAAACATGGTGTGCAATTCTTGAAGGATTATTTTTTCTATAGAATATCACCATGCTTATGCATGAAGATAGATGTCAAAAGATTTGGTGTAAACAACTAAATATCAATACTATTGATCTATTTTTGAAGGAAGAGTGCCAGAAGTTGAAAAGGAGTTATCGTTGAGCAGGTGTTTGTGCTATTAATTCTTGCTTTCAATTTACTATTAAGGGCATCTTTCTTTAAATAATGCTACAAACTACTTTTCCCTTGTGCCTGTTTTTCCTTCTACAGCTGTATTGGTGGAAAAAGTTTCCAGGTATAAGATTTTGGTAGGTCTTTCATTTAATTAGATATCTTTTCATATACACTTTAGTGTTTCATGATGTGTGATGGAAAAATGAAACTCCCAAGTTGGATACACCTTTTTGTAATGAGTAAAATAGGTCTGATATAGATCATAATATCACCAGTACATTTAACCATTCAATTACATGCTTCAAAGTACAAAATATAAAGATTCAGAAATATAGCAAACATGTTGAATTAATATCTAGGGGGCATGCTGTTTAAGGGGTGATGTAGACGGTAAAGTGGGTAATTGTCTCCAGTCCATCAGTTGTATGTTGGTCCACGTGAGGAAGAGTTTCAATGGTGGCAAATCCTTTAGCATTCTCATACTTGCCAGTCCCTCCTATGATGGCAATGTGAGAAATTGGTGTGGCTGTCCTGTGAATTCCGAAGAAACTAATAGTATCATCAACTTCGTGATTATGTTCTCCGTGGAAAAGTGTTGTCAAGGCTAAAGTGTGGCTGGTGCCATCTGAAGAGCTTGTCAGGTAAAATCCTTGTGCCCTCCCAAGAATAACTGATCCCAGCTCATGCCCCTCTGTTAATTCATTGTCAACGACAGTAATAGAGCCAAACATGAGCTGCTGAAGCGATAAGCCAGAAGGAAGCTGTCCGGCTGTTACAAAAGGTTGGTTGTTATCACCAGTAACTACATCGTTGTTTCCGCTGTTTTGCAGGACAGTGTTAGCTTGTTGCTGACCGTTAAGGCCTGCAAGGAATGGATAATTGTTGTTGTTGACGATGTTGTTAATGTTGTTCAAAGAAACTCCTCCATTGATTGGGAAGATTTGATTGTTGAGCTTGGAGAAAGGCAGATTGTTGGCATCGGAAGTGGCTACAATTCCAGTGACCACTCTTCCTGAAGGAAGCGAACCACCAAGGATGTCATGCATGAAAAAGGAGAACGTGGGGTGCTCAAGGATGGGACTTTCTACTTTGGCGCCTGAGGTAGCAGCTGATGTGGTCCCACCTGGGGCTGCAGTGGCCACTCCTGGGGTTTTGGTGACAGGGGTAGTTACTGGTGCTGCATCAGCGACAGGGGCTGCTGCATTATCTGTTAAGTCAGCAGGAGGAGTCGCTGATGCAGCAGGGGAGATGACAGGGACTGAATCTGGTTCAGGGTCCGCTGGTAAATCTGCTGGAGGAGCCACTGTGTCTGCAGGGATGGAAGGATCAGCTACTGGTGCCACATCAGAATCAGGAGCGGTGACAGTAGCTGGTAATTGGTTACTCGGCAATGTGGTAGCTGGGGCAACCACAGGAGCCACAACAGGCTCATCTATTTCTGATGACGCATCTGCCACTTGGCTCACTTCATCAAGGATTCTTGCTGAACTGGCACAGTCAAAGGTGAGGACTAGCAGAAAAATGCAGAACGTGGCATGGAGTGTTTTCGAGGTGAGTTGGGAAACTTTCGCCATCTTTTCTTGAAAACGGTGCTAGAGTGAGATATAGAAGGCAAATGAAGTTGAGTAGATGCTTAATTGATGAGGAAAGACTGGAGCCTCAATGGTTATATATAGCTTTATTACATCCTAATAAAAAGTGGAGCTGATAAGGTGGTTTTGGTAAGGAGTGATAGATATGCCTGTTTTTTCTTGTTATGTTGCAGAACACCAAATCCACTTGGACATCAGGTTTGGTTGAACCAACTCTGAATTTATTTTTTTCTGATTAACTAGACAATTATCTCTTTATTTAATAACCGTGGTGTCCGGGCCAGCTTTCGCAGACTTCGACTTATTCCATGGGATACCTCCCACCAACTACATGTACCAGTTAACTTAGGACAGATGTTCATGTGCAGATATACTATGGACTTCACAGAAGCTTTCATCTTTTCAACATCTACAGGCAGAGTTGCCATGTCTCTATCTTCCTGTTTTTCCGAGCTTAAGAAAAATTCATAATTGCTAGCGGCAGAACGCAACTTAAGTTTCCTTCATAGATGATAAAATATTAAAATTTATCAGTAAATCTTGTTTAAGGCAGAAAAATTCTCTGTGAATTTCACACAATTCTGAAAGAAATGAGTTCCTAAACCTCAGAATTCTCCTTAAATTTCCTAAACCCGATATTTAGTTTAAAATTTGAAGGAAATTAAGTTGTTTTCTCATAAATAGCACATCTTCAAGAATCCTCATATATGTATTATCTATTCGTCCTCCAGCATTGTTTGTATTTCTTCTTTCAGGCCTTTGCAGCTTATTCCGTGCACCTTAATTGGTCTGTTAACTGTTAACTTTACGAATTTAGTCAGCCGATTTAGCTATACTATGTCTGCCCCTACACTTTCCTTTGAATCTGCACGGAGAAAGCAGTTTTGCCTATGCATGACTTCAATTTGATTTGCTTATCTAGTAAAATGTTTGTAGTCAGAATTTTTTTATGTGAGTTTCAATATAACTTTGCTACTGTTTAAGATCTGTGCATTTTTCTGATGAAACACACTTAGAAAAAGTTCATGGTGACACCAATTGTAGTTTATGTAACATCTCCCTTTGTATTGACAGAAACCAAAAGTTCCACACAAAATCTTCACCCTTATAACAAATATAAAAATCTTGAACAATCAAGAATTACAATAGAGAAAGAAATTGTGAATTACAGCTCAATGATTACTCTAGCAAGTTACTAACTTTAACCAAGATAAACATTGAATGAAAGAATCTTGTATGCTTCTTCATTTTTGTTAGATGTTACATTGACAATCTTGACAGTAGCATAGCCATTTGCATCATGATACTTTCCGGTACCTCCTATTACTGCTATATGAGATTCAAAAACATCGCCCCTATGCACCCCGAAAAACCTTAGACTATCTTCATACTCATTACCAAGAAAAGTAGTAGTCATCGCCATCATATGACTGCTACCGTCTTCTGAACTTGCTACATACATTCCTTGAGCTTTTCCCTTCAAAGATGAACCGTAAATGGAACCTTTGTATATGTCCTCATCGATTGTTATCACTGTCCCTAGTTCTAATTCTTGAAGTGTGGCTATAGCTGGGAATGCCATGCTGATCCCTTCCAAATCAAGCGTGTGAGTATGCAATCCGTTCATTCCAACATTTGGGTTTGTGTCGGTCAAGGGAATGCCTCCTACTGGAGGGAAATAGCCTAATGGTTTCGAGAAGGGAATTTGATGATGACTATTTACTCTTGTTGATGCAGGTCTTGATGAAGGGTGTTTTAGACTAAGAACATCTAGCATGTAAAAGGACGTTTTATGGCGTTCATGATGATGATTGTTCGTCGAGGAAGGATTGTTATTCAGAGTTCTAGCTGAAAATGATTGATTGCTCAATGTCAAGAAGAAGAACAAGAACCAAGAAATGACTAGTTTGGAAGGAGAGTTTAGCATCTTGATTGTTTGTAGAAGAGATTTCGATAGGTTCTTTGAGAACTAAGTGAAAAGGGGAAATCTCCAATAATACTTTTAACTTTTGAAGTGGAGTAGTTGATGTATTAATGAAGTAGTTAACATTGTTATGTTAGTTGACTTCTAAGGTCCTAAGGACCATTATTTCCTATCAAGAAAGTATGAAGAAAAAGAAATACTTCTCGTTTTAATTTATTTGTCTTTTGTTTGATTTTGACTTATACGGAGTATTACATAAAATAAAGAAGATACTCAGTGAGATCCCCACAAAGTGGGTATGAGGAGAGTAGAGTGTACGCATATATTATCATTACCTCGAGAGGTTGTTTCCGAAGGACCCTCGGGCTCAAGTGCATCAAATACAAGTAAAAGAGGAAGAAAACAATGATGAAAACATAACAATTAATATGAAAAATACAGTGTAGAACCTACAAGAAAGAAATAATACTAGCAACAAATTAGTGGGAAAAATGAAACACAATACACAATATATGATGATAGATAACAAAAGCTAGGAAAGACAACACTCTACCCCTACTTACTATCTATCGTATTACGCGACCTCGACTCCTTTCTATCTTGAGTCATGTCCCGGTAATATGAAGTTGTGTCATGTCCTCTCTAATCACCTCTCCCTAATACATTTTCGACCTACCTCTATCCCTCTGTGTACCCCTTACAACCAGCCTCTCACGCCTCCTCAATAGGGTGTTTGCGCACCTCCTTTTTACATGTGGCACAAATAAAATTTTGAGATTCAACCAAATTTTTATATCTTTTAAATATTTTAAGTTGTTAATTATTATGATTTATTAAACTTTTACTTTTTTTTTCATTTTCAAATATTATATATTACTCCTCTAAATCAATATACATGTGGCACAAATAAAATTTCAAAAAAAACTGTTCTAGTCCAACCTAAGGTAAATTGAGGATAGGTGTAACAGTTATTCCGAAGGTCTATCAGAAACAGTCTCTCTACCTCCGAATGTAGGGGTAAAGTCTACGTACACTCTACCCTTCCCAGACCCCATTTTGCAGGACTACACTGAGTATGTTGTTGTTGGTCTAAGATTTGCTTTGACAAACATTCAACATCTCAAAGTATGTTTTCAACTTGTGTTTAACTTCCCTCTTTTCTTTTATTTTTTTGCAAATGATCAGAAGGCAGAATGGCGATGACAGA